TCATCATCATCATCATCATTATTAATTTCACCCAGAATGATGCTTTTAACATTTAATTCATTTTCACAGATTGGAAACTTTGACAAACCTGTGCCTGTCCCAAGACATTGTAAGTGATTGCTTGTTTTAATAAAAAACCATTCAATATTGTAACATAACTGATGTCAAATGAAGAAATATATTTTGGTGTAACAACAGTATTAGAATACCAGTAATGCTCTAAGACCTTGTGTTATTCTACTTTTCAATGATTGCCTACCAGTACCTTATTGCTATGTCAATACTGGATGTGTAACTGTTGCTCCTCATTGTTCTCTGCTACCAGGCAACACAAGAATATGCGACAGAAGCAGTGGCAGAGATGCTGACCATTCCTGCTATACAGGTATCTTAACTGTTATTTAACGTTAGAATATTAAACCTTGGACCATAGTTAATAGCTATTAATAGCCTGCGTAGCTGTGCTTTGGGGAGGAGGGAGGGGGACTACCCCCTCTCCATCCCCTCGGACTCCCTCCCCAAAGGGGCTCTATGCAGGCTAAGCTATTAACTATGCTTGGATTTCTTAGATTTGTTGGAGGAGATTTAAATGCAGGTTTCTCTTCTGCTCTCAAGAGTATTACAGCATTTTTGGTAGTAATAAAAAATAAAAGTAATAAACGTATCATCAATGAGGCACTCACAGCTCTTTCCTACATAGTTAATATTCATTTGAATACATAAACAATTGATGACTGTTACAATTGATTAAATGCCGTCCCCAAATGAGCAACACATCTAAGACCAAAATTATGTGCCGCCCTCAAATAAATGCCGCCCCCAAATTAACACTGCATATATGAAACCCAAAAAATTTAATTAGCTTAAACGAGTAAATATGGCGTTCTACAATGCAGTACTTGGAATCACGTATTGAAGAGGACAGTGACATTGGTGTTTGAATTTGAACTTTGAAATTCATTGGTATTTTGTTATATTGTTTGTATTCACTTTATAATAAATAATTGGTTATGCATTATTTATATATCAATGGTAAACACATTTATATAAGTGCTGCCCCTGAATAAATGTCTCCCCCTGAATTTACTCCGCATTTGAAACCCAGAAAATTTAATAGGCGCTGTGATGCTTAAATGAGTAAATATGGTTACAGTGTACACGTACGTTGTTCTCTGGAGTTCCATAAAGTATTAATAATATAATATTACATAATCAGCTGACATTAATCACTCTGATCTTATTTTTTAGGACTCATTTGTGGAGCTTGGTGGTGTGCGAACACTGTGTGCACTTTTGCACAGTAAAGATAAACGTATCATTAATGAGGCACTCACAGCTCTCTCCTACATAGTAGCTGACAGTGAAAGTAACAGACAAGCCCTCCTGATGGAAAATGGGTATTTATAATGGCTGTCTATATTTCTCTGTGTCTGTTTGTCTAGAATCTATCCTTTAGGCTGCATATATATCAACTCATGTGCATTTATCTTTCAGTTTCCATTCATCCATCTGTCTATCTATCCAATTCTTTTTCAACCTGTTCAACTCTCATTCCTGTTCCATTCATCTATCCATCCCATAGTCCCATTTCATCTATCCCTTTCATCTTTGCATCATTCCATCTATCTATCCCATAGTTGTTTGGAATTTCATGACATTTCACTTTCATCTATCCATCCATGCATTCATTTATTTATCCATCTTTTCATCCATCCATACATCCA